AAAAAAAAAAAATGAAAAATTTCAAAACTAATAATCGTTTCCAGGAACGATCATAGCTTTTTTAGTAAGATAGAAATAACATATCGATGTTTTACGTACCAATAACGTCCTTTATAGTGGCTGTACTGTTGCACGTTATGAAGTATGTATAAAACGGAACCATTGCCACACCGCCATTTTTAGCCTGTGAACAGATGCATTAACCTCAGACATGCCAAGATTGTACCGGCCCTGAATATTATTCGCGCGAAGAAAAGCGATTGTAAAATTGTGTCGAGTAGAATAAAGCGGGTATTTCATTTCCTGTATAGAAGGAAATGTATAGAAGCATTGAATTTGCGGTTCTATTGTGCCCTCAAAAAATTCTTCTCGTTTCTCTGCGTTACATAGGCTACTTCGAAATTATACAGATAAAAAATTTAATTAACTACTGAAGTTTAATAAAAGAAATCGATGAAAAGATTTCCCTTTTCGTAATAAATATTTCTCTTTCTCTTGTAATATAGTAGTAATTATAGAAGTTTTTTTGTGAAAAATCATATTGTTCGAAATTATATTCACTTTTTTCCTTTTTTGAAGTATTGTGAAGTGAATGTTTAATATTCAAGTGTCGATAGTTTGATAGAGTGATGAATCAGTGCACATCTATATTTTTTATCGCTTAAGATAAATAAGACAAGTCTTGGAGAATATTATCAAATTTTTACCGATAATCTTCCACTTGAAAACTTTTTGATTATCAATTTAATTATGCATTTTAAGATTATTTTTTTCTTGAATAAATTTATATCATCTTAATATATTATATGATTTCTATTTCACGTTAAATCAATAGAGAAAAGAGAAGAATAATAACGAATATTATTTTACATTTACCAATGTAAATACAATTTTTACGTTAAAATATTTACTCGTGCATTCGTAATGTAAAAGCATCCCCTTTTCTAATTATTTACCGCCTTTTAAATTTTTTAACACGCTTCGTTTTATTTAATATCATCGTTTTGAGAAATTGTCATTACGTTCGTGAACATAATACCTCCGGATAATTTGAATATCAGATTTACGCGGGAAATTTATATTCTGTTGGAAAAGATTTCACGGAAACTAATGATTTATGATTTCCCTCTACTTTCATATTAAAATGTTTCCGAGAAATGATTTGTACAGAAAATACCGGTCGAAAAAATAAATGTTAGAGGAAGACTTTTACACGCTTCAAGGAACACAAGTTATTTTTTTTACATTCAGGATCGTACGTCATAATTATTTCTGAACGTGAATTTAAATAAATCGTTAGTCCTTAATTATAATCGTTAAATTATGCTTCCCAAAATGATGCAGCAAGAGCTTATCTTTTCTATTCTAATGTCTTCGCTATTCAAAAAAAAGGATATCTCTATGAAATACGGCTGCATATTTTACACCGAGATCATAAAGTAGAAGGAAACTATAGAGCTGATTTCGAGCTTAGATATGACGAGGATGAAAATCACGATAGATTTCACAGAAAAATTCGTGATTTTTGTAATTTTCCATGTTGGAAAATTTTTCCAAACTTGGATATAATGAAAAACCATCGATGGCTTCTCGAAGAATTTACGATATTCTTATCAAACTTAGGTTGATTTCGAATTTAAAAAGTACAACCTCTGATTCAATTTTTATTCGTATTGTGCGTGTCTCTTAAATAAAATATCACGCACCATGATTCAATCGAGAAATATTCAAACCCATAAATTTAAAAAAAATTTCAAATTTAAACAAACAAACAGTGATTAAAAAGTATTTGTCTACAAGTATTTTTACATTTACACAACAACGGCAGATTTTTCCACTTTAATTCGTGCATTTTACTCGTCCATTCCACATTGTTCAAGCGATATTAAAAAAGTTACCATTCGAGACAGCATACTTTCTCAAATCGCATGCGCGACTGGAAAATGTACATTGAAATTCGATGAGGTTGTTCAAATCTGAGGCGTATTTGTTGCTTCCCATATTGATTTTGTCCAGGTTGCTTTTTCGAAAGACAAGCAAGAAACGAGAACGATTCTGCCATCAGAATCATCTGTCTCCACTTATTTTTATATTTGTCTCTTTTACGAGGTTAGCAAAGTTCCTCCTCTCCTTCCTTTGTCATGATTTGCCGCCATTGCAAGCATATTTTTGTTTTATGAAAATTATATTATCATCCAGTATTTAAAAACGTAGTTTTTAATTTCTCAACTCTCTTTTGATCATAATATTAATATTAATTTTATACAACGATGGAATTTATGGAATTTTGAATATTTAAAATTGGAAATCAATAGCAATGTTCGAAGATTCTTAAGTAAAGAATTTAATTCTTTTGCCAACTTGTTAAACAATGAAATCTTTGAATTTGAATTGTAAATCATAAGTTAGAGATTTCTAAACTTTGAAAGTATGAGAATTAAATAATATCATTTTCACGCTGCTATCAAAAAGTAAATGATCTAACACTCGATATTCTCTGAGAAGGAGTGACAGATTTTCAAGTCACGTAAAATGTCATTCTTTTAAAAGACGTGGACTTATTCCCAGGCTCTGGCTCTGAACTACAAATATGCTTTCTTGGACAGATCTTGAAATGTTCGCCAATAAAATTCCAAGGAATCGTAAAGTTACCCCGGAGAAATGCAATTCCGCTTCTACGGGGGACGGTATATACTGCGTTAAAATTTTAATATCGCCAACTGCTGTAAATCATATTTCCCTCTCACCAGGATTTTCCAACGATTGATTCGGAATCCCATGAAACATTTAATATCCACGACGTGTCCGGACACCGTTTGAAAAATCTATCCGGTTTTTCGATGGAAAAATTTTTTAAACGACGCGTGGAAAACGCGACACGATGGAGATGTTTCTTGCATTACAATATCGTAAAGGATTAAAGAATTCTCTTTGTTCGAGTTTTAACGATCGTTAGAAATTGATTTAATATTCGTCTCATCTATTTCCAGTTATCTTCCACTATTCAATTTTAAGTCTATGGAAATATCAATGTTTAGATGAGAAGTTACGATTTGTAAGAATGGTTTAATTGCAAGATTGAACAATTCTTGAAAATTCTCTCATCAATATAAATTTATAATTGTCGATAATTTATATTGAGAACACTTTGTTATATATATTTCTTTTTATATTAATGCGACTGACGACGAATCAATCTTTCGGGTTTAAACGTCCTAGAACGAATATTTTGTATGAACAAATCTAATAATATCAGAATAATCAGAATTTATGTATGTATCAGATTTGCGTTATTCGCGTATATTAAGATTAGTATCTATCGTGATAAATTATACAAAGGCATCGAACAGAATTCCCAATTAATTTGCATAATGGAGAGTTCTACGGTACAATACATCCTAATTAGAACGAAAGAGCAATATGGTAGAATCGGTGAGAAAGGAATAGGGAAAACTAATTTCGTCCATTTATTTACATCGACCTCTATATTTCCTCTTCGACTTTATTTCGATATTCTCCATCGTTCGACGATGTCGGATTATTAAATTAATGAGAAATATAATAATAATAAAAAAAAAGATTAATGTAATTTGTTAAAAAAAAATAGAATATATAAAGAATAATAGAGTGGGTATAAAAATTATTCCCAACAATAAATAATTTTAACAAAAGCGTTGTAAAAATCTCGTTTATCTCGATAAAATTTCAATAAATAATAATCTCGAAAAATTAGAAATTGCGATAAACCGTTAAAATGTTAATAAATATAAAACAAAAATGGGAAAATTTTGCAATCATCTTTCGATTTTTGTAAAATGTGTGTAAAAAAAAAATGACAAAAATTTGTTTAAAATATCTCGGGGATGTAAAATGCACGCACCATTTATAATTACGAAATACTAGCTTACCCTGGAACAAACAAAATTAACGAACGTAGTGATTTAATTATCAAAAACTTTTGAAAATAAAATAAAATTTAAACGTCAGAGAATCCATTCCCCGCTTTCTAAATTTACCTTAGACTTACGTTACCTTAGATTGCAGTCTAATTATAATCGAATTATCGAATTACTAGGATTCATTGCACTTCCTTTTCGATTATTTATCCGCATTGGATTCGCGATAAAAATCTGAAGAAGGAACCGAGATAAAGCAAGGGATCGAGGATCTTTATCGGTTAGCTCGGAAAATGGCCGGAGCCTTTGGGGTGTATCCAGTTTTATCGGATTTCTTTTTTATCTTCGCCCTCCATCGAAAATTACTGAATGTGCCAATCGAGAAGAGACAATGGCCCGCTGTTTCTAGTCGATACCTGACCCGACTTAAACTATGAGGTAGCCAACGTTAATTGGGACAGCAGTGTGGCACGGCTAATAACATGTTACCAGACAGCCCATCGTTCGCCCTCTGATTGGTGTAACTCATCCCCTTGTTGCTTCATCATGATCGAGCTTGGTATTGATTGCAACGGCGAGACAAATAAGAAACACCTTGATTCGATCTCATTTAATAAAGAAACAAAAATCCGTTGGGATTTTAATCAAGGCGATCGAATCATTCAGATATTTCTCGTTATTTGCTTTATTTCGATTAGAAATATTTTAATATTTATAATTATCGTTTCTATGTGTTATACGTTTTTATATACATTCGTCGTATAAAAAATAATTATTGGGATTTTAATAATCAAGTTATATATTTATACTCGATAAGAATATAAAATTTATATCAGAAATCAGGTTATCCTTTCAATTTTTTGTTCTTTGACTATGATATATTTATATTTGAGATAAATTTTGATTGAAATAAATCGAAAATTTACAAATTATAATATTCACGAAATTAATAACAATATCGAATAGAATATAGACAAAGAAAACGTTTGAAATTGTTGAAGATTTTTACAATTTTTCAATATGTTCTAAAACTGATATTTATTAATTTTGATCTTCAATAATTTTGCAAATGTTGAAAAGAAAATCAACGAAGCACGACGACTCGAAACCAGAGCTTCTGGGATATAATTTATCTTTGTTATGCGGATCTTAGCATACGATTATTGGATTCATAAGTGATTTCGAATTAACGGCGAAACATTGGGTAAACTAAGTGATCAAGTCCGGCAAAGCTCGATTAAAATTTAATCCTATCCGTGCCCTGCGCTTGCCAATCACTGACGCTGAAATGACAATTACCTTGCATCGATGCTTCGCTCTAATCTGTGGGATTAAATTTGAGACGAGGACAATGCCTTAAATACCATTTAACCACACGTTCGTGAACTTAGCCCGAACGATTATTAATTTCCATTCTATGGGAGGCTAGTAATTAACAATGGCCTCAAATGCGCAAGTAGGTCTCCAACAATTCGTAACTTCGAAATCATTATTCCATCTCCAATAATTTAAGGAGATGCCACATCAGAATTTTGCTAGCCTCGATTATACTTTTTGAAATCTAATGTCGATTAAGCAGAGTAAACGATTCCATTTCCTCATAAATATTCCTAAATTTTCCTTAAAAATTCTGTTTCTTTAAAAAACTGCCTAATCTTTTCGAGATAAATTGTTTAAATCACAAAAAGGTAGATAACTGTTTCTCCAATTTTGTATACTTCTTACTTATTTGTTCGTTTAATATTTCAATAACTGGCTTCCAAAAATTCTAATCCACTGACCTTACACCTTGGATTTCTTGGCACAGGTAGAAACCGGAAGAAAGGTTCGATAATGATAGATAAATATTCGACCAATTGTTTCGCCCAATGAGGGAGCTTACGGTATTTTTACCCTTTTAAAAACCCTTTTATACGTTCTCATTGACCGACCACAGCCATAAATCAACCGCCTATATCCTCTTTGCAACCCGACAATTTAATCCAACAACAGGATATCCTCTGCAGAACTATTTTTTCGCGGCCTCATTGACCCACCTCGTATATTATTTTATACGAGTGCAACTTTTTCCCTCCAACCTCGAAATTCCGTTGCTCCCTCGAATGTACATCCTCCTGGTCGTTTCGAACTCGTTTCGAATTTTCCTCGTTTTTTTTTCACCCACCCCCTCTCTCTCCCTCTCGATTTCGTTTGTCCACGAATCCAACACGTCCTTCTCTCCACGTTTCATCCTCGCACTGATCGATGTATCAAATGAATGAATTTTTATTTTTTTTTTCCAAGAAACAGGATTGGAAGGGTAACGCGTTTTTCATCAAATCGAAAATTTGGACCGAATCTTTTCGAAAACTTTTCGTACGTTTGCTCATCTACGATCAAATAATCGTCTTCTATGTTGATCAAAATGTAGCAAATTGATCGAGAAGGATGATAATATTCGTACACATGTTTGTATAGTAAAATGAAATGATGAATGAATCAATGTTTGGTTAATTAATACGTTATTATTTATTATTATTTTATTTTATGTTGGAGTTATTCGAAGTTACAAGAAGGAAGAGACCTTATTTTGTATCACAGCATTCCTTTGATCGCAATTGAATTTTATGAATTTTGTATTTTAATTAATGAAGAGGGTATATAAAATACGTCACAATTAATTTCTTATAATAATTGAAAAACATAAGAGATAAATTTTGATGATAAATTAATCGATCGAAAAGACTTTTTTTATTTATATATTTTAGAAATTATCTTTCATTGAATGATGAAATCCACATCAAATATCGTAGTCGTATCAAACTTGATCGATCGATCCATAATTATGGAACATTCTATCTACGATTCTACGTTTAAACGTATATAATATCGTTCTATGCATCGTTCGTGTGCATCGTACGTGGAATATTGAAAAAAATTCACTTCATTGATCGTATTAAATCTGCGTCCGTGTTTCGAATCCACTTTATACAAAATTTTTACTCGACATTAAACGCAAACGAACTTTTGGTATATTGTCGAAAAGGGATTAAACTCGACTCGCTGTTCCACTAACTTTGAATGTAGCAGTCGGAAAACTGCAACTAAAACGTTAAAATTTATCGACCGACCCAAAAAGCAACGTCGGTAGGTTGTGGGTTAAGCATGGATTACATCATAAATGCTCACTAACAATTTTATCTGCTACGGTATTTACGCTCAAAGTAAATTATTTTCTCCCGGTTTTTTTTTGTCCGTGAAGATTATCATTTTGGGCGGAAATTGCATACGAAATTTTTAACAATTATTAACAGCCTGGAAAATAATACGTGAAAAGTTAAGGGTATCGGTTTACTCTTTGGAAAAAGATTAGTTAATACCACTTAATTTTTGAAAGTTACATACCTACGATATTATAAAACAAATTTAATCTTCTAAAATAAATGGTCAAATCCTTTGTGGAAAATTTCAAACATTTTTCTTTTCAATTTATGGTTGCTTTAACGAAGAGAAAATATTTTTATATCTATATTATGTGATAAAAGGACTAACTATAGAATTACTTTTCCTAGAAAGAATTTTTTTGATTAGTAGTGTGATAAATTTTTAACCTAAAAAATATTCCAAATAATAAAATTATAATTTTTCTTCTTAATTTCTATAGAAATCTTGATCTCAAATTTTTTTATGTACAATCCTCGTGATGAGAAAAATTTTCAGATTTGTATAAAATATTTTCAATCAGGAGTATATGTCAGTGGATATTTTATCCAATTTCGTGCGGAATAAATTCATTGATTTTAGTAAAGTATCTACTTTGCTTCTTCAGCAAGATGCAGAGAAACTCGTAACCATAAAGTCAGAACTTTTACGTTCTTTGCCATCCTATCCGGTTGATAACGTGCACAGAAGAAATGTGTTTGTACACAAACACATAAAACACACAAAAATAATGTATGGAGCACTTGTGCAAATTATTAAGTTTTCTCACTTCTTTTTCAAGAAATTTTTTTAATCTCTTGCAAAAGTTATTAATCTTCTCGTACTTTTTTTTCAAATCTGCCAATGTAATGACTTTCGATTACTGAATAAAGATCAATTAAAATTTTCAACATTTTTCCCCTCAATAGATTTGACAATATAAAATAATAAAGTTTTAGAAGAATTGAAAATACTTCAAATATTCATTCATAATTTAATATCTTTTAGAAATAAAAGATATAATAAACAAAATCAGTATGCCATTTACATAATTAATTAATAAATGGAAAAATAAGAAAAATGAAAAGTGAGAAAACTTTCTGTCCAACTCCTTTCCTTTCCTTCATCTTTAAACACATTTTTTCCAGAGAGGGTTAAGCCTGTTTCCTTCCTGTATGCAACACACGTGGCACTCGTTGCATCAACTCGTGCCACGCGTCGAGTGCACCCCTTGACAGATGCACCCCTCCAGATGAACTCGCGAACAGTCGATTTTTCTTTTTTCATTTTAATTTTTAATTCTCGTTTCCTTCCTTTGATTTTACGACACGTCCGATTTTTCCATTTTTTTTCCTTTCCTTTCCTTTCCTTTCTTTTCTTTTCTTTCTCGTTTCATCCACGCTCATTTCCGCAACCGGATACTGTACTGAATTATGTAAGTTTTTGCAACGACCACGTTCCTTTTTTGTTCTCTTATATTACGTGAGCTTGTTCGTTTGCTAATTGCACCAGTGTTTCTCCTTCCGTTTAATGTTACCGTAGTAAGAGCATTAGGGGGCGCGGTAAGCGAATTTGTCAAGTCGCTGGATTGTTCGTTTGCGAAGAAATTTGAGAAAAATTTTAAAGTATTTTTCCAGTAAATCCTTCGAATTATTTAATTTTTAAAAGTTTTTCAATTTACCATAGATTTATTCTGAATAACAAGTGTATACTGCGTGCATTACGAGTGATTCCAAATTTTTTCGATCATATATTTTCCAGATCTATCACAATCTATAAACACGGATAAAAACTAAAAGTTTTTGTGAAAATTGATTAACTAGAAATAGATTCACCTTTTATTGAGATTAAAGTGTGAAAAAAGATTGTGTAATTTCTCTTTTAGAAGCGATTATCCTGGAAATATCCAACTTTTCTGA